AAAGATTTTAGCAGTAACAAGTTTTGGGGAGTGAATATGTATGAAGAAAAATATGGTCAATGCGAGAATAACTATTATGAGCCATGGAGTAGTGGGAGTAGTCTCGAGAAGTAGGATTAGCCTCCCTCCACGCATCAATAAAATCATATCGATGTAAAAGTTGAGCCATTTTACGGCTCCGTCTAGAAGGAGGCTGAAGCGTGGCGGTTCGGGAACGATCCAGAATCTGGTCCAACGCTAAATTAGAGTCACCAGCTAGAATAACGTCACCCTCAAATTCTCCTACCAGAGTGCCTAGCAAAGAGTGGAAAAATTCAACCTGATTGGCATTGGGGTATAATAAATTATAAAAGTGATAAGGTTTCCTCCCAAGTGGCCTTTCACCAAAAGATATCGCCCCTCCTTGTCCCGGACAATTTTAGATTCGACAAAGGACACTCAGCGAGAAAAGCATAGGGCCACCCTCCGCTTTTTCTCCGTAGCATTAGCAAAAAAGCAGAGAGGGTAATTTTTATGAATATAACGTGGAGAGAAGGAGGGGGGAAAATGAGTCTCCTGTAAGGCAACTATATCTGCCCCAAGGGAGTGGTACGAGCTAAAAGCCTGTATGCGTTTGGATGGGGAATTGAGCCCCTGAACATTGTGAGAAAGGAAGCAAATTTCTCCACTAGTAGACCGTAAGGAAGACATGATAAATAATTATGGAACTAAGCATAATAAAGACCCCTCGTTCCTTAAGAGTATGAAGATCCCTAGAAGTCCTTAAATGTCGCCAGCTGACCCCCAAAAAAATCAGAAAAAAACAAAGAGAAAAAAAATCGGAAAAAAAGAAGAAAAAAAGAAATGAGAACATTTGGAACACAAAAGTCCAAATGCCACGTGACCGCGGTACACGAAACAATACTAGTAAATAAATGAAACAATGTACCAGGAAATACAGAGCAATAGCCCTGTGGTGGATAGATCTGCCCAGAGAAACAATCCCGGGGAAGAGTCTTCCAATCAGGGAGAGCGCAAAGACACTCTCCGGCACTGACAGCAATTATAACCCATCAACAATAAATCAAACGCACAGTGCATTGAACATAAAAACAAAGCAATTAAAACCACTTGAAATGGTATTCAGCAAACAGATGCAATTAACACCCCAAGTCCCACCCCAGCCCATCCCCTCATACCAACACAGCAACAGCGACCAACGCTCTTAAGAGCCACAGAGAGGCCGCCATCAACTTACATATCCCAGCGAAAAGTCCCCACAATAACACGGAAGTTCAAGAAATCCTCCCAGGTGGATTCCGGGACCCCTTCTTCTTAGATGATGGAGTAGTCCACAATGGCTGGAGCAGCGGAGGTCGAGGAGCCGATCCCGTAAAGAATGGGACGTCGGACTGCGAGATATAATACCCAACTGAAGCAGCAACTCCTCGCCATCCTGGAATGTAGCAAACCCATAGGACTTTCCGTTAAGAGTGAACTGTAGATGAAAAGGGTAGGCCAACAATATTTAATGCCCTTTTGAACCAAGTGAGAGAGAAGTGGTTTGAGGGATCGCCGCCTCTGGATAGTGGCCGACGAGACATCAGCAAAGACTTGTACCTTGTGCCCTTCAAGCTCTATATCTGGATTCTCCCTGCCATACCGCATGACCGCCTCCTTAACCTGGAAAAAATGAGGCCCCCGTTGCCGAGGGGGGATCAGTGCCCGGTGAATGCGATCAATCTCAAGGTGAAGGTCATCAATAGCAGGCATAGCAGAACCGCATGAGGGTGTGTGCGCAGCTAGTAAGCTCCTTAACCGACTCAGGAAGACCTCAAATGCGAAAATTGTATCGCCTGGCTCGATTCTCTAGGTCATCAATTTTAGAATACGCCTCCTCCAGGCGATCTTGCAAGTCGGTGATCATGATAGAATTTTGGGAGATACTTTGGACTGTCGCATCAACTTTAGCCTCAATACTGTCTAGACGGTGGCCCAAGGCCTGGAAATCCTGCTTAAGATCAGCTGCCAGTTTTGAGGTAGCTCTGTCTAATTCACGTTGCAGCAAATCTGCGAACCGAGCTATCAAAGTTGCATCACCAGAGTATAGAGGCGGTCAGGAGGAATCGTTGGCGAGGAAGTCGGGCTATCATCCGCGGGCTCAGGACCGCTATGCTGGCTTGAAAAAATGGCAGCTATTTCGCTGCTCAAGGGCGAGGATGCCGGGGAGTCATGGCTCAATGAACAGGCCGAAGCCTGGGACTCTAGTGGCAGGGCTGGAGGGTGACTGGGGGGGCTGCAGGGAGTCACTCACCCCAGCTGATGATACTGCTGCAGTCCTCCCTGGACCAGCGTCGGACGAGGAGCCCATCTTCTCCCTCCGAGGGAGAGGTGCTGCTGCAACAGAGGCAGAGGAGGCACCAGGAGCCGCGGGCGCCGATCCGGCCGCCATCTTGGATCTCCCAGGCCCCGCAGGGAGCCGCAGCTGGGAGCCTCCACGGCTCTTCACCGCCGTCTTTCCGGGCATTATATCTGGTGCCCGAGATCCGGAGAAGGGCAGGGGGGGCCCCGGGGGTGAAGCGGCACTATGCCCTTTTATGGGCTGCCGTCAGTGCCGGAGATGTGCGGAGCTAGTGCCGGGACATCCGATCCCGGCGGCCGCGCATGCGCACCTTGGATTACAATTTAACAGAGACTCTAAGTTTGCCCTTCTTGGGGCCAAATTACAATTTTTTGGGGAGCCATCCCTGCTCTTCCCCTGCCCCGGGAACTTGGACGCTACCTTCATACCCAAATTGAGTGACTGTCCTAATTCAAGAAAGCTTTGTGTGTTTATCATCTGCTCTGTGTGTTCGGTCCTGCCTACGCTCCATCACAGCAAAGTTACCACCCTTACAACCTAAGGGGGACAGATGAAGTATTTGACCAATGCTTCAACCAGGTAAGTTGCAGTAGTGGAAACAAAAACAAGGCCGACTTAGATAAGAAACTACAGTCCGGCCAATATTAATCAGTCAAATTAGCCTACAGCTATGGTCAGCTTGATTGTACAGAAGGAAAAATCACCAAACACATTGAAGGTACTTACAGTGGACCTGAGGGGAGAGCACTCCTCCCTCTGCTCTTTCTCCAGCTCACCCTCTTCCAATATGGCTGGAGCTACACAAACAACAAGAAAGAACAAAACCAACACATTGCAAACATCAAATTGACACAATGCACACAGAGAACAGGCAAGCACATTCAGGCATTAACAGTGAGCTGGAGGTGAGGGGCCCTCCTGCTGCGGTCCAAATTCTGGAGGTGGCTGGTGGGCCTCCTCCTCCTCCTCCTCCTCCTCTGAGAAAAACCTTGCTTGAACTACACAAACAAGAAAGGACTACAATAACCCCTTTGAGAGAGCCAAGGACAACAAGGAACACAGAGAACAGACAAGCACATTCAATGAACTCACAGTGTGCCTCAGAATAGGTGCCCTCCTCATTCTCATCCTCTTCCTCTTCCAACATGGCTGGTGCTACATAAACAACAAGATAGAACAGAACACATTGCAGGCATCAAAGTTACATAATGCACAGAGAGAATAGGCAAGCACATCCAAGACACTTACAGTGAGCTGGAAGTGAGGGAGTCTCCGGCAGAACAGGCGACCGTGGAGACAGGGGCGCCGCCGCCGCCTCCTCCTCCTCCTCCACTGGAAGCAACCTTGCTGGTACTACACAAACAAGAAAGAACAACAACAACAACCCTTTGAGAGAGCCAAGGACAACAAGGAACACAGAGAACAGACAAGCACATTCAATGCACTTACAGTGAGCCTGAGAGGATGTGCCCTCCTCCTCCTCATCCTCCTCGTCCCCCTCTTCCAACATAGCTGGTGCTACATAAACAACAAGATAGAACTCAACAAACACATTGCACACACATCAAAGTTACATAATGCACACAGAGAACAGCCAATCACATTCAAGGCACTTACGGTGGCCCTCCTCTTCACTCTCTTGTTCTACAAAAAGAATAACACAGAATTGTAACATTACCAACCTAAAAACATGGCAGACGTTTACTCATTTCTCACAAACCTGTGTGCCAAAGCACACATTAAAGTTACATAATGCACACAGAGAACAGCCAATCACATTCAAGGCACTTACGGTGGCCCTCCTCTTCACTCTCTTGTTCTACAAAAAGAATAACACAGAATTGTAACATTACCAACCTAAAAACATGGCAGAAGTTTACTCATTTCTCACAAACCTGTGTGCCAAAGCTAAGGCCACAGGGCTGAATGACAACTGTCCATTTCCTGGTGTCAGGCCACACATACAGGCACAATTGCGTTCGTGTCCCTAATTTGTTGTGTTTTGACTTTGGATGTACATCCACTGGGGCAGACTGCATCCTTTTCCACAACTTTCTCCACCGCACTAGAGCACATAGCAAGTCATGGTAGGAGGATGATTTGTTAAGCTTGTTGATCATGTATTTGCTATGCAATGACATGATCACAATGTCAATTTAGATATTAGGAACTCTTGGATGTCCTAATGGGATTGGACCACACTTATCACATGGTATTTGGACCAATCACAGCACCCTGGTCAATATGATTGGCTGTAGACTATATATACCAGATCACCAAAAAGGCCACATGGCAGTAATGTAAGCAAGTCAGGACAATGTTAAACATTTCCGTTACAATGATTCTCAATGTAAGGGACAAGCCAAGATTCTGAAATTCCCCCATCCCCAAAACTAACCAAAAATCCCCCCAGATGTCCCCTCTCTATAATACTGTATTCATGTGTTAATAATAACGTACTATGCATTGTAGAATATTTCTCATGTTCTGTCATCTTATGGGGCCTCACCAAATGAGATTGGCTGTACATCATGGAGTTGCATTTTAGTTCAAAATATTCCATAATTTGTATACTCTGCAACTTTCAAACAGCATACATAACATACACATATTGTAATTTAATGGGTCAAAAGAAGTCCAATTCTGTCAAATGTAAAAACAAAATGTTATGACTGCGATTTTGATGGGATATGTTTGTGAACATCTAAACCATAATATTTTTAGGCAAAAATCCCGCATCACAAACAAACAGCCATTGGGGATCAAATGACACCAAACACAGCTCTATTAGTGATTAACAAATGGTTCTTGTCATGGTCCCCCTCCAGCCTGCAGTCCCTTCCTCCCCCCTTGCTCTCCTTTGATCATCCCCCCCTCCCTTCCCCTTGCAGATTCCTAGGGGTCCTGCACAAGCCTACATCAAAGGCTGTTCAGGAGGGGAGGAAACACCCACTGTGGTGCGGGTAGCACCTCTCCTCAGCAAAGTTGCCAAGGAGTCGGCTACCCCGCTGGGCCCGAACATCACAGGCCGCCGGGGTGTCCCTGCGTTCCCCCCGGTGGGCACAGCGCGGGTGTCAGGGCTCCGGGGTGGGACCAGAGGTATGTGACTGACGCAGGGAAACGCGGCTTCAGATAAGTTATAAACAATATAATTTATTAAAGACTAACATAAACGCAGTGCAATACTAAAACATAACACAGTGCAAACAAACCAAACCAAACCACCCACAGATAACAGTACATACAATGCAAGCGTCGTCAGGCAGGCCGAGTCAATAACAATCGGGCAGGTAGGTGGGCAGGTAGGTACAGGGGGTCAGGCAGAGAATGGTCGGGGTCACAAGCCAGGGATAAAACAGGAGAAGTCAGCAGAGGTCCGGATCAGGCAGGGTCAGCAACGAATGAGACAGAGACAGGAACAGGAACAGGGATGCAGGAACAAGATACAGGGCCCAGGAAAAACACACACCAAGGCAGAGACTGCAGGTCTGGCCATCCCTTAAATACACCTGCATAATCAACTGCAGGTGTTTGGCTGGCTGCAGGGTTGAGTCTCTGATTGCTGGGAGCACCCGCTGGCCAGCCCTGGTACTGCAGCCCACAAGGCAGGTGAGTGCCACCATTACTGGCAAGTCCATTCCTGACAGTACCCCCCCCTCAAGGAGCGGCCTCAGGACGCTCCAAACAGTCCTAGCTGGGCAAAATGTTCCACCGCCCGGGTCTGGTAACTGGCGGGATATCAAAGACTGGCACATCGGGCAGGACTCCGGGCAGCGGCACAACGGGCAGAGGCACATCGAGCTGGACTCCGGGCAGCGGCACACCGGGCAGGACTCCGGGCAGAGGCACCTCGGGCTGGACTCCGGGCAGAGGCACACCGGGCTGGACTCCGGGCAGAGGCAAACCGGGCTGGACTCCGGGCAGAGGCACACCGGGCTGGACTCCGGGCAGAGGCACACCGGGCTGGACTCCGGGCAGAGGCACACCGGGCTGGACTCCGGGCAGAGGCACACCGGGCTGGACTCCGGGCAGAGGCACATCGGGCTGGACTCCGGGCAGAGGCACATCGGGCTGGACTCCGGGCAGAGGCACATCGGGCAGGACTCCGGGCAGCGGCACATCGGGCAGGACTCCGGGCAGCGGCACATCGGGCAGGACTCCGGGCAGCGGCACATCGGGCTGGACTCCGGGCAGAGGCACATCGAGCTGGACTCCGGGCAGAGGCACATCGAGCTGGACTCCGGGCAGAGGCACATCGAGCTGGACACCGGGCCACCAGGCGGAGCAGCAGGCACCGGGCCACCAGGCGGAGCAGCAGGCACCGGGCCACGAGGCGGAGGGGCGACAGGCATCGGGCCCCCAGGAGGGGCGACAGGCATCGGGCCCCCAGGCGGAGCGACAGGCATCGGGCCCCCAGGCGGGGGCGACAGGCATCGGGCCCCCCAGGCGGGGCGACAGGCATCGGGCGCCCCGGGCGGAGCGGCAGGCACCGGGCCCTCGGGAGGAGCGGCAGGCACCGGGCCCCTGGGGAGGGGCGGCAGGCATCGGGCCCCCAGGCGGGGTGACAGGCGCCGGGTCCCCAGGCAGAGCGGCGGGCCCCCAGGCGGGGGCGACATGCATCGGGCCCCCAGGCGGAGCGGCAGGCACCGGGCCCTCAGACGGAGCGGCAGGCACCGGGCCCCTGGGCGGGGCGACAGGCATCGGGCCCCCGGGCGGGGCGACAGGCATCGGGCCCCCGGGCGGGGCGACAGGCATCGGGCCCGCAGGAGGGGCGGTGGGCGCCGGGCCCCCAGGCGGAGCGGCAGGCACCGGGCCCCCAGGAGGGGCGGCAGGCACCGGGCCCCCAGGAGGAGCGCCGGGCACCGGGCCCCCAGGAGGAGCGGCGGCGCCGGGCCCCCAGGCAGAGCGGTGGGTGCCGGGCCCCCAGGCGGAGTGGCGGGTGCCGGGCCCCCAGGCGGAGCGGCGGGCATCAGGCCCCCAGGCGGAGCGGCGGGCACCGGGTCATCAGGCACGACAAACGGGCATCGGGTCACCAGGCATCAGGTCATTTGGCTCGCCAGCGGGCACTGCGTCATCTGGCAAGGCAGTGGGCACGAGTCACCAGGCACGACAGTGGGTTCCGAGTCAACTGGCATGACCACGGGCACTGGTCAGACATTGGATCGTCTGGCTCGACAGCGGGCATCGGGTCACCAGGCATCAGGTCATTTGGCTCGACAGCGGTCACCATGTCATCTGGCAAGGCAGTGGGCACCGAGTCACCAGGCACGACAGTGGGCTCTGAGTCAATTGGCATGACAGCGGGCACTGGGTCATCAGGTACCGGAATCGTCTGGATCGACAGCGGGCACCGGGTCATCTGGCTTTGGATCGTCTGGCTCGACAGCGGGCATCGGGTCACCAGGCATGACAGCGGCACTGGGTCACCAGGCATCAGGTCATTTGCCTCGCCAGCGGGCACCACGTCGTCTGGCAAGGCAGTGGGCACCGAGTCACCAGGCACGACAGTGGGCTCCGAGTCAACTGGCATGACCGCGGGCACTGGGTCAGACATTGGATCGTCTGGCCCGACAGCGGGCATCGGGTCACCAGGCATGACAGCGGGCACTGGGGTCATCAGGCATGGGATTGTCTGGCACGACAGCGGGCATCGGGTCACCAGGTATGACAGCGGGCACTGGGTCACCAGGCATCAGGTCATTTGGCTCGCCAGCGGGCACCGCGTCATCTGGCAAGGCAGTGGGCACCGAGTCACCAGGCACGACAGTGGGCTCCGAGTCACCAGGCATGACAGCGGGCACTGGGTCATCAGGCATTGGATCGTCTGGCTCGACAGCGGGCATCGGGTCACCAGGTATGACAGTGGGCTCTGAGTCACCAGGCATGACCGCGGGCACTGGGTCAGACATTGGATCGTCTGGCTCGACAGCGGGCATCGGGGTCACCAGGCATGACAGCGGGCACTGGGTCATCAGGCATTGGATCGTCTGGCTCGACAGCGGGCATCGGGGCACCAGGCATGACAGTGGGCACCGGGTCATCAGGTACCGGATCGTCTGGCTCGACAGCGGGCACTGGGTCATCAGGCATGATAGGATCATCAGGCTGGATCAGTTCATCAGCTGGGTACAGGCATCAGGCTGGGTACAGGCATCAGGCTGAAGTGCAGGTGCCGAGGCACCAGGCTGAACCACGGAAGGCAGGTTCTCAGACAGCAGGCTCACCGGTTTGGATACTGGCAGGATGGTACTGGTTGGAAAGAATTTCCGCTTTTTTCTGGTTTTAACTACTGGGGCACTGCAAGTAAACGCAGGTCTGCAAACGAATGGAGCAGCTGAGGACAGAGAAGAGCTGGAAGATGGAACAGAGGAGGGAGCAGTTTGCTACAGAGGACTTCTTTACAGGGTTAAAGAAAGGATAGGTGCAGCGAGTGGGAGCAGAGGACTGGTATGTGGTAGTTAGAGTATACTGGGCAGTCACTGGGGGTGCTGTCGGGGATACAGGAAGAATGCCTTGAGTGGAGGAATGATGTTGTAAGCTGACTGAGGCTGGGTGCAACAAGTCTGACCATGTCTGCAGTATGGGTTGAAACAAAGCTCAGTTTACACAAAGCCTGTCTGGTCAACGACTGCACTGCGTTTATACAATCTTTTAGTACCTGTGGTGAACATGCAGAATAACGCTCCAGAAAGTAATCCACATCATCCTCTAATAACCATACAGGGACTCTACCTGGTCGGCACTAAATGGCGGCAAAAATTCATCCCTGCATTCGGGGGTACCAGATGAAACCAACTCAGCACAAACCTGAATCAATGGCTGCACCTCAGAGAACTCTGTGCCCTGATCTACTAGGCAATGAGCGATCCGTATACATTCTAGCAGTTCATCCCTGGGATACTCCTTCAGAGTTTGATAAGCATACTCTCTGTCATCAAACACTAGCAGAGATAAATACACAACCTCATCAAGATCCATCCTTCCCAGCAACAAGCCAAGATGGCTTCCCTGTGCAGCCACTTCTGGTCAGGATTGGCCTTGGTGTAATGTCAGGGCTCCGGGGTGTGACCAGAGGTATGTGACTGACGCAGGGAAACGCGGCTTCAGATAAGTTATAAACAATATAATTTATTAAAGACTAACAATACAAACATAAACGCAGTGCAATACTAAAACATAACACAGTGCAAACAAACCAAACCACCCACAGATAACAGTACATACAATGCAAGCGTCGTCAGGCAGGCCGGGTCAATAACAATCGGGCAGGTAGATACAGGGGGTAAGGCAGAGAATGGTCGGGGTCACAAGCCAGGGATAAAACAGGAGAAGTCAGCAGAGGTCCGGATCAGGCAGGGTCAGCAACGAATGAGACAGAGATAGGAACAGGGATGCAGGTACAAGATACAGGGCCCAGGAAAACCACACACCAAGGCAGAGACTGCAGGTCTGGCCATCCCTTAAATACACCTGCATAATCAACTGCAGGTGTTTGGCTGGCTGCAGGGTTGAGTCTCTGATTGCTGGGAGCACCCGCTGGCCAGCCCTGGTACTGCAGCCCACAAGGCAGGTGAGTCCCACCATTACTGGCAAGTCCATTCCTGACAGCGGGAACGAGGCTTCCCGCACTCTGCGCCCGCCGGAGACAAATGCCATGCTCCCTGAGCGCGGCCCCAGTGAGCGTGGCATGCCTTGTTGCCCCGGTGACCCGACACTGGGCCAGCCATTGCCAGGACAACCAGGAAGCGTCCTGCTCTGGCTTAAGAAGACCGGAGCAGGACCCAGTCCACTGTTGGTCCCCTGTACGTCGCCATGAGCAGCTGTTGGGAGGTCTGAGCTGAGGCCAGACCTCCCCAGTTCCAAGAACCCGCTGAGTACTCTGCTGATACCTGGGGGGGCTAGAGGTGCTTGCTATCTGCTGTGTGCAAGGGCACTCCTGCCTGCTACCTGCTGTGTGCCCGAGGGTACTCCTGCCTAAACCGTGAGTGCCCCAATCCTCCTGTCTGAACTACCCCCCATCCCCCGATTTTCCCTGCCTGTACTGTCCCGTGGAACTCTCATACATTTTTTGCCTAAATTGCCCCATTGAACCTCCCTATTACTTTTGCCGGAGCTGCCTGCTTGGATTAATACTTGCTTGGGCCATCGCTACACAAATTGCCCTATCGCTGAATTACAATTGTTTTGAGCTACTCCCCTCTCCTCCCCCATTTTGGGTACCCGGATGCTAAATTCCTACCCTGATTGAGTGCTTTCCATATAACAATAACGCTTGGTGTGTTTAGCATCCTCCGTGTGTGTTCTGTCCTGCCTACACTTCCATCACAGTTATCATGTCTTTTACAAGCAATGTGTGTGGCATTAATGTACAATTGACAGTCACTGGAGATCAGTGTGGAGTATGCCAACAATGGCAAGGTCATGAGGTCCAAGCTTCCACAGCTTGTGCTTACCTTCCACAATGTGGAGTCTCCGCAGGGGATGCCCTGCCTGTGGCTGGCAAAAGAGGACGGTGGCTGTCTTTCTGTGTGGCTTTTTTGCCAAGCAGACCACCGCCTGGCGCCCATCAGCTGTGGCTAGAACAAGTCAACAAAAACAACATTATTGCCAAACAAATTCAGAATGAATGTAGCCAAAACATTTTTCACAATACAAAAATGAAAGTAAAATTTTTAATAACAACTTGACTTACCAGAGATTCGCAGGCAACTTTTTTCAAAAAATCAGGCTTGCGCAGCTTCACATTGCTCCAACTGTGCTGTATTTGTAGCACAGTGGAGCGATGGTTGAATCTCTGCCATAGCCAATGTTTGACGTGGCGCAGGATGGTCTGCTTGGCAAAATTGGAGCAGCCACCGTCAAACTTGCGTAACAGTAAAATCTGTGGATGACAAAAAAAGGTCAAGAATTTAAACGTGAGAGGTTTGTGTAATCAAACATACAAAATATCCCACACAAAGCAGGGGATAATTGTCCCAAAAGGCAAGCTAAAACATGAACTATATCTACATATATGTGTGTGTGTATACACATACACACATACAGTATAATTGTATTGTATTGTTATTTTCAATGCATTCTCACCTGAGCAATGCATAATTGTTGGCAAAATTGCACAATTCTTGTTGCACTTCTAAATTGTGCTCAAATGGTCTTTAAATACGCATTGTGCTTTTGGGTGCCATTCATTGTTAATGGCACCCCAAGTGCTGTTAGCAAACACGTGCATTTTGCTGCACATTTTAGCATTTAACAAATATGCTAGGCACGCACCTAAATGAGCATTGAAAAAAGACACAACACTCCATGGGCACAAAAGTTCCATTTTTGCTTTGTTGGACATTTTAATTCTCATTGTGGTGTATTTTGTAATCAACTTTTTTGGTGCTTTTTGGTCATCAGATATGTTTTGTAAAATGTTGTTTGAAATTTTGATGTGCATGTTTGTCTTGTTTGAGCCTGTATTTTGGATTATTTTGTAACAGCATTTTTGTGTGTGTTCTGGCAACACATGCCAAATGAATGTCATTTTGGCTGGGACATTATTTGGTTAATTTTCACACAAAGTTGAAATCAGATGTGCAGTTTGCCAAAGTATACGTAAAAAACAACACCAAAAATTAAATCAAAAATACACTTTCCACAAATGCAAACACACATGCTTTGACCCAAAAACGCCTGTTAAAATCACCTGTGGCCAAATGTGCACTCAAGTGCCTAAGGCAACACAGGTTGTGTTGTAGCCGTCTCTGCATTGGGTTTTGCGGTTGTTTTTTGTTTTTTATGTTTTTTTGGTGCCTTACTGTTTTCATTTGTGTTGCTAGGCAGATTTAAAACGGCAAAACGCAGACAACATGAAATACATTCTTGTCTGCAGTGTTTCTATTTAAGTATTTTGACAAAAACATTACACTTTTGGGTTCCAAAAAGGCTCTGACCTTTTCCAAAAAAACAAGCCATGTGAAAATGCACATGTGTAAAAACATGTCCCATAGGAAATCACCTTAAAGCGGAGCTCCATCCAAAAGGGGAAGTTCCGCTTTAAGGACTGCTCCCCCGTTCCCATCTTAAGATTGGCACCCTTGGGGAGCAGGTCCCCAAATTTGACAGGTACACGCTCCCACTTCCGGTATGATCGCCTAGACGTTTGGAAACGGAAGGTGTCCTCCCTCCTTGTAGTCTTTTGGGACATTTGACATGTGACCATTCATAAGGCGCGTCTCTACTTGCACATGCACAGTGGGTAGCCGGCTGTGAAGCCGCAAGCTGTCACAGCCGGGTTCCCACAGTGAAGATGCCGTCCTCCTGGAAACCAGGACAGCCGGTGAAAGGAGCTGCAGGGGGACACACCACAGGACCGAGGGAAGGTAAGTGGCTGCTTTTTAAAAGTCAGCAGCTACAGTTTTTGTAGCTGATGACTGTTATTTTTTGATAGGTGGAGTGTAAATCCGCTTTAAATGTACTGTACAGCATTTCTGACAAACGCGGTTTAAGATATGGTGTGGCCCTAGGGTCAATGTGTGTTTAGAATACTTCCAAAATGCACATACAAAAACACTACATCCAAATGCATGTTCCATTTCTACAGCATGTTAAACAGAAGAAAAATGCACTTACATAATGTTAACATGCGCAATTAAAAGTAGACAAAATACACATACTTTTATTCTGGCTTCACATACATGCATTGTGGTATAACACATGTCATTTGGACATGTGTTATACCACAACGCATGTATGTGTTGTGGTATAACACATGTCATTTGTACAGGAACAGCACTTTTGGGCAAATCACATGCAATTTGTGTGCGTGCAATTTGAGACAAACATTTTGCACGGCTCAAATTGCACCGCATCTGGGCCAAAAAGGTGCAGGACCCTTTTTCAGGGTATGCACATGGGTGTGAATAGGCATGCGATCCAATTTTGCACATCGCAATACGCTTTGTGGACCAATTTTGGTGTGTTGTTAACTTCACCTAGAAAGCCGCAGCAGGTGGCATGAAGGGGTTGCGGTTGTAATGCGGTGCAGCGTTTGCACAGAAAACACTGCAAATTTCACATTGCATTAGTGTGAAACCAGAATGTGCCAAAATGTGGCTTGACAAAGCACAGTGGTCAGTGCAGATTATTTTCATTCCATGTTTTTTTTACACTTTTCATTCACTGGTTTAACTCAGGTGATCGTTAATCACAATTATCTCCGGAGATCACATGCAGCCCCTCAACCATCTACACACATCTCTGGAAATCTATACAGATCTCCTTGAAAAAATGTCTCCTCTTTTCTTCCGAAAACAATTGTCCTCCACCTCATAAACAGGGGGACAGAGAAGACTTCTCCCTGAAAACTAAAATCAGATTAACCACTTGCCTACCGGGCACTTATACCCCCTTCCTTACCAGGCCAATTTTCAGCTTTCAGCGCTGCCGCACTTTGATTGACAATTGCGCGGTCATGCAACATTGTATCCATATGAAATTTTGATCATTTTTTTCTCACAAATAGAGCTTTCTTTTGGTGGTATTTAATCGCCACTGGGCGCTTTACTTTTTGCGCTATAAATTAAAAAATGTGCAAAAAATTTAAAAAAAAAAAAAAGTTAATTTGTTTCTTTTATAAAATTTTTCAAACAGGTACCTTTTTTTCTCCTTCACTGATTTGCATTGATGAGGCGGCACTGATGGGCACTGATAGGCGGCACTGATAGGCAGCACTAAAGGGCACTGATAGGCAGTACTAATGAGGTGGCACGGATAGGCGGCACTGATAGACAGCACTAATTAGGGGTCACGGATAGGCGGCACTGATATGCAGCACTGATAGGCAGCACTGATAGGTGACACTGATGATGATGGGTACTGATAGACGGCACTGACTGGCATCACTTCTGGGCACTGACTGGCGGCACTGACTGGCACAACCCCTGGGCACTGACTGGTGGCACTGACTGGCAGCACTGGTGGGTGGCACTGGTGGGTGGCACTGGTGGACAGCACTGGTGGGTGGGCACATGTGGGTGGCACTGGTGGGCACAGGTGGGTGGCACTGGTGGGCACAGGTGGGTGGGCACAGGTGGGTGGCACTGCTGGGCACATGTAGGTGGCACTTCTGGGCACAGGTAGGTGGCACTGCAGAGTGGCACAGAAGGTGGGGGCACTGCTGGGCACAGGTGGGGGCACTGCTGGGCACAGGTGGGGGCACTGCTGGGAATGGGTGGGCGGGGCTAGTGGGCGCACTGCTGAGCGGAAATGCGGGGGTCACTGCTGGGCACCGATCATCAGGGCACTGATCATCAGTGCCCTGATGATCGGTGCCGATCCCCCCTCTCTGACAACTGCCGGTTCTCGGCAGTACTTTCCTCATTTGATCTGACAGCGTGAGGAAAGTGCAGCCGAGAACCGGCACTTGCATTTTCCTGTGATCAGCGTGTCATTGGACACCGCTGATCACGTGGTAAAAGGCCGGTGGGATCGGCCTTTCACCACATCTCGTGATCAGCTGTGTCCGTAGGACACAGCGATCACGGAGATCGCCGGATGTGCGCGCCCCCTGGGGCGCGCAGGAGAGCGCGTTCTGGGAGGACGTCATATGACGTCCACTCAGAACTGGCCGGCCGCGCGGTGAAGCCGTCTTTCGGCTATGCGCGGTCGGCAAGTGGTTAATTATCTGTGCTTAATAAACATACACCAATACTGCACATGCAGTGTACTGTCGAAGGCATTGCACACTAACGCATTGCACACTAAAAATGTCAAATGCGTTAGTGTGTACAGTGCATTAGTGTAAAAATGCGTTAGTGCACACTGTAATACACTGTACACTGTAATACCATGTACACCAACATATTGTAGACTGTAATGCACTGTACACCGTAATGCAGGATACAGCAACGCATTGCACACTGTAATACGCTGTACACTGTCATGCAGGATACAGCAACGCATTGCACACTGTAATACGCTGTACACTGTCATGCAGGATACAGCAACGCATTGCACACTATAATACGCTGTACACTGTCATGCAGGATACAGCAACGCATTGCACACTGTAATACACTGTACACTGTAATACCGTGTACACCAACACATTGTAGACTGTAATGCATTATACATGTCCATATATTCAAAGATTAACCATGAAGGCCTAGCTGGTTAACTAGTTGCTGACCGCAGATAGCCGAATAACGCTACACTGCGTCCAGCCAGTTCTGGGAGGGCGTCATATGACGTCCTGCCAGAACGCGCTCTCCTGCGCGCCCCAGCGATCTCCATGATTGCTGTGTCCTACGGACACAGCTGATCACGTGATGTGGTAAAAGGCCAATCACAGCAGCTTTTTACCATGTGATCAGCCGTGTCCAATGACACACTGATTACAGGGAAATGCATTTCCCGGGTCTTGACTGCACTATCCTCACGCTGTCAGAATGTGGGGAAAGTACTGCCGAGAACCAGCAGTTATCAGAGCAGGGGTCGGCACTGATCATCAGGGCACTGATGATCAGTGCCCTGATGATCGGTGCCCACCAGTGCCACCCCACAGTTCCGCCCACCTGTGGGCCAGCAGTGCCACCCACCAGTGCAGCCCAGCAGTGCTGCCTATCAGTCAATCAGTGCTGCCTCATCAACGCACATCAGTGTTGAAAAATTACCGGTTTGCCAAATGTTATAATAGAAACAGACTTTTTTTTTTTCATTTTGGATATTTTGTTGTTTATCGAGCAAAAAGTAAAACACACAGCAGCAAGTCAATACCACCAAAAGAAAGCTCTATTTGTGTGAAAAAAAAAAATTTCAGATGGGTACAATGTTGCATGACCACGCAATTGTCATTCAAAGGGCAACAGTGCAGAAAGATGAAAATTGGCCTTGATAGGAAGGGGGTATGAGTTCCCAGCAGGCAAGTGGTTAATATCAGTGACCCATCAATACCCAGGAGCTAATGTACAGATAAGTAGCATGTGCACCAAGTGAGATTCTGCTAGGCCCCCCCCAAAAAAATTGCAATTAACTGTCCCTCACATGTTATGAACATATTTGCAATGGCCACACTTACTTTACAAATAAGGATCATCTCCTCAGTTGAGAACTGTGGTCTCGCCCTGTCCAAATGCCAATAAAAATCAAAACAAAATTCCAGCACCACAAACCTCCAACCACTCTCATCCACTAACACTCCCACAACCCACTTCCGGGTGCGCGCAATCGTGATGACGGACTTCCCGGGAGGACAGCCGCTCTAGCGCCTTCAGACAGCTGCTTGTCATTTATTTGTTCGCGCTCATTGCGCATTTTTATGGCGACTATGTTAGCTTTTCGCGAATATATGTTTCCCATTGAATTTTTTTTAACCTTGGCTAATATATATATTGTTGCCAAAGGCCAAAAATCAACAACACAGTGTTGGACTATTTTATTACTGTAAATAGAATTGTAGAAAACCTGTAGCTCTCTCTGCACAGTGAATATGACCTATTCATTGGTACATAACAATATTGTGGTGCAAGAGGGTTTTTTTTTTTTTTTTGTTTAAAAAAAGCAGTTTGGACATATATTGCATATTTGCACTCTTACAAGCTACATTTGAGCAGATTATATAAGTATACAAAGTAACTATTAAGGTTGTTCATATATTGAACATAAAATAAAACCACAAAAAACATTGGTCAAACATTTATTGATCAAATATATCTTCATTTATTTGGTCAGCAGAACAAGTAGGTACAGTCAATATCTTGGTGTGAGTCACAAAAAAATAGGATGATGGCTAAAATAAAACACTCCTGCTCATAAGAGCTTACAATATAAAGATACTTCTAATGAACTGTGCATGCAGGTTATAGCAGGAAACAAAGGGGAAGATGAATCAAGCAACATTTTCGTGCCCATAAAATTTACTTACACAATCACTTAGTATAAAGATCCATTCACAAAAACAGTCTACAGATCAAAATTATCAAGAAAAACAAGACATATGTGAAAAAAAAAACCCCCCACCTCTACAAATCCCCTACACATACATTTGTCAGCAGGTTTGTCAGAAAAATGCATTGGAGTCTAAATAAGCAAGCAAAATTAAAACAGAGAGCAGATTTTAAATAAAACGATTGACATGTGTGAGGCTTTCAATGCAAAGAGAAAAAAACAATCATTGTGCAATAACACACAAACACACTTTACAAGGCCAAAAAAATGCAAACATTTCCAGCCCACTTCCAAACACAGCCTGAGTGGTGTCTGGGGCAATTCAGCACAAAATCTCTTCCTCCCCCAAACCACTACAAGCAAGGACTTGGTCAAAAATCACATGGCCTAGTAACAGGCCAAATCACCCACTACTGCACGTCTTTTATATAAGCTAGGTTGCATTTGGAGCGTGCCAAACAAGGCCCCACCCCCAATTAAGCCTACACCCACCACTGTCCTTCATTTGGTCAGTTAAAGTGTTTGCACCTGATGAATCCTCTTCCTACCTGCGTTAACCCTTGGTATACAGGCCACACAAATCAGAAATAAATATACAGTGAAATGTACCGTGTGCAGCATACAACAGAACATTGAGCAGGGATGTGAAAGGGAACCCCAATGGGAACCTTTATTGCTACTATGGTCACAATTCCCTCCAGATTCTCGCATGAGTTAAGACAGTCACATGACCACATCTTGCATGCAATACTGAAAATGACAATTCGATTTGACTAGTATGGTGAATTTCCCATCAATCGGCAAAACACTCCAGAAATCAAACATCAACAAACATTACACTCTGGTCAAAGCTGATTTACAAATCATGCGACTTACAGTAAAGTTGACCATTTCAATGCAATTTTCAAGACATCTGACACAGATCTCTATGCAAATTGCCACTAAAGTAGTACATGTACTACTTAAGAAATCAGTGTTTGAAACACACCCATGTGGTCGCTCTAATAGCAGACAATAGGGTGCGACTTTGCAGACGATTTACAACTTGCATGTTGTGCAAATCACATGCCAAGTCCCACTCAATGTGCCGCTATTGGAGCGTTCATATTGTTGTGGTTCAAACTTGGTCGGAGCCGCAAGTAATAAATAAAGTAATGAATACACTACTTTTCATGCAATTTGCAGAGAGATCTGTGTGTCGGATGTCTTGCAAATTGCACTTGAAATCACCATGTACCCCGACTTTGAAATCATGCGACTTCAATGTAAGTCACATGATGTGACCGTGGTGTAAATAACACCACTTAGAAATCTGCTTTAATGTGACCGGGTAGCCCCCAGTAACATTGTTTGCGATTGCCATGCAATTGGCATGACAGGCGACTTGCAAATCGTAGACCAAGTCGCACCCTATTGGCCACTGTAGGCTCTGTTCACATCCAATTGGATTGTGAACTCGTGCAACTTCACTGTAAGTTGGGCAATTGCCACATCGGATTAGATGTGACAGTGGTGTTAGCCCCCAGTAACATTGTGTGCAATTTGCCATGCAAAGGGCAAGCTGCTGGCCATGCCAATCGCATGACAAGTCGCATCCAGGGTGTGCAATTTCAGGTGCGATTTGTGAATTGACATCGTACCTGATATCGGATATAATGAATGTGAATGTGAGTGTATTAACATACGCCATTTGTTGCAGCGTGAGTTCAAAGGTAGTTTGAACTTTTTGGCCATTTATTAGCAATTTAACATCTAGACTCAAATAGAAATCGCAATGCTAAACACAATTGAAAACACAACTAGTTTGAAATTCTCTAGAAAACACAGTAAAATTGGCAACTTAAAGCGCAATTTTCAATTGCATATAGTGGGAACGAAGCAGGTAAATCAACAAAGGAAATAAATCTTTGAAGGCGTGCGGTACCTGCCTGCTGGGATAAGGGTCTGCTATGCATTTGGGGGAAATTCCACGCCAGTATTTGTAACAATTTTGATGTGTGGATTCCCCGCCCAAGCCTTTTTTCTCTCTCTCTCACTCTTCTGTATGTCTCTCTTTATCACTCTTCAGTATGTATCTCTCGCTCACTCTTCTCTCACTCTCGCTCTCTCTCTCTCACTATGTATCTCTCTCTCACTCTCTTTGTTTGTCTCACTCACTGGCTCGCTCTTCTCTCTCTCTCTCTCACTCTTCTGTATGTCGCTCGCTCGCTCACTCTTCTTTGTCTCACTGGCTCGCTCTCTCTCTCTCTCTCACTCACTCTTATGTATCTCGCTCACTCTTCTTTGTCTCACTGGCTCGCTCTTCTCTCTCACTCACTCTTCTGTATGTATCTCTCGCTCACTCTTCTTTGTCTCACTGGCTCGCTCTCTCTCTCTCTCGCTCACTCTTCTGTATGTCTCTCTTTATCACTCTTCAGTATGTATCTCTCGCTCCCTCTTTTGTCTCACTGGCTCGCTCTTCTCTCTCACTCACTCTTCTGTATGTATCTCTCACTCACTCTTCTTTGTCTCACTGGCTCTCTCTTCTCTCTCTCTCTCAGCTCTTTGCTTGCCAAATCCTTCACAAAGGGGGGTGGAGTGTAAACCAGCATTATCAAATCTATTAGTAGTCCAGGCCCTTATCTCACCCCATTGTTTGACATTCACATAAGGTGCAGCTTTGAAGGTGTTTCAACAGACAAGGCCTCATTCTAATTCACATTCTAGGGATCATTTAGACAGAAAGCAAAGATGTTGCCAGAACATCTATTTGAAGACAGCCACACAGGGAGATCATGCTACTTTCTTGCCGTGGTTGGGATTCAAACCGACAACCCTAGCGTTGTGAGGCAGCAGTGCTAACCACTAATCCACAGAGCTGCAATGCTAATCCAGCCTGTATTTCTGTGTTGTGAATCTACCCTAAATCCCTGGGCAAGGTCAGTGTAACTAGCCAGATATCTCTCAAATGTGACACAAATGTTGTGCTATGTTGCCAATTCAGATGTATGTTGGTTCTATGTATCCCAATACAAAGGATTGCAATACTAATACAGGCATACCTCGGTTTACCAACGCCTCGGGGAACTTCTTATTTGGGGTACAAATGCCAAACCATTTCAGTTAATTGGTCTGTTTACAAATGTTTGAATAATTTGGTATGGGCATGTGGCCTGGTATGGTTCAGGAGGGGGGGGGCGCTCGCTCGTCCCCCCCCCCTTTCCTGACTTGCCGGGCTGCATGCTCGGATAAGTATCTGGTATGGATTTTGGGGGGTACCCCACGCTGTTTTTTCTTTAATTTCGGCGTGGAGTTACCCCTTAACATCCATACCAGACCCGAAGGGCTTAGTATGGATGGGAGGGGGGACCCCACGCCTGGGTTTTTTAAAAATTGTTTATAATTCCCTGCAATACTTTTACATTCAACTGTCAGTGGGGAACTCCGCCGACAGCTGAAACATGAGCGCTGCATGGTTTTCACTACTAAAACGCTGCATGAGTTGATAACATAACTCATGCGGATTGTAGGAGCGACAGCCATGTGTTAATGTTTCAGCTGTCAGCGGGGTTCCCCACTGACAGCTGAATGTAAAATAATTTCCTTTATTGCATAAATAATAAAAAAAAAGCGTGGCCCCCCCCCCCTCCCATCCGTACCAAGCCCTTCGGATCTGGTATGGATATTAAGGGGTAACTCCACGCCAAAATAAAAAAAAAAAAACAGCGTGGACT